CCACTCTTCCATCTCTGAATCCAATACTGTCTGAGCTATAAACTCCCAGCAGTGGAACACAGTGGTTTAGTGGCTTTGTTGGAGTGCCTCAAATGTGGAATGGCTTGATATCAGGGGAGATCTGCATTGTTTTGACTCTCACAAAGACATGTATGTCCTGAGACAGCTTTAGGAAACTTCCAGTCAAGTGTACTTACACTGTGGCCCATGATCAGCTTATGTTATTTTGTAATGAAATAGTGTAACAACCCGCTGTGACAGTACGGCAGTGATTCACCACATTTCCAGGAATTCATTGTCGCACCTACATGCTATGTCGAAAGAATGAGACTTATTCAGTAGAAAAACAGAGACCTAATACCTTTTAAAAAGTAAATCTTGTTGCATTATGGTCTATTGAAGCTGCTGTTAGTAAAGAAAAAGGTTTTTTTCCCTATTTGTGCAGCAATAAGTTCCCTTTAATTTATTCAGCTTTCTTGTAACTGACACTGGCTGGCAGCTAGAATGATGTGCCAGCCTTTTGTAACGGTTATTTCATTACCCCATCATAAACCTGACAATGTGGCAAATGCATTTCATTTCCAGTTTTAAATGTATAGAGCAACACTTGCATTTAACTTTTAATCACATCCATTTCTGCTTTCGATCGGTTTAGAGAGAATGTGACACGAGACGAGTCTTTACAAGGTCACAGTCTAGTCGGCGTGCGAAGACCAGAATGTGACACGAGACGAGTCTTTACAAGGTCACAGTCTAGCCGGTGTGTGAGGAGCCTTCTGACACCTGTCATTTCAGGTGGGTCCTAGTGAATTAAATGGTCCACAGAATGAGAAAGTCAGAGTCAAAGAACAAGAAAAGCAAAGAGAAAACAGTGCAGTGAAGCAAAGATAACATAGTCACTGTTTGGTTCTGTCAGCAACTTCTATCAGTCACTGAACAGTTCAAGCAGGATTTTTTCTTGCCTGTCTCCACCAAAAGGACATGGCAGCTACAGAATGACAACACAGTGTCAGAAAGCAACAATACGCTGCTACAGTGGCAATAGAAACTGTTCTTTCTCAGTGGCAGAAATTCAGAGGTCTGGTGTGATGAAAGCCTGCTGGAGCCTATGAAGCATTCAGTGCCAGGGTTAGTTATCAGAGAGACCATGCACAAGTCTTTCCCATAACTGGAGGGTGCACACAGCTGGTCAGTCACCGAGAGAAACAGGTGTGAATGTTGGATTGTTGGAGTGGAAAATTACAGAAGCGAGAGTTCCTGACATGCAGTTTGGAAGAAGTGTAAATCCTGTTTAATAAGTGGATAAGTGTAGTTCCCAGAATGTCAAACCTTTCCTTCAACAGAAAATGTACAACAACTCTGATAACTGATTATTATTTGATTTATTTTTGAAAGGAAAAAGGGCCAAAAAGGGTAATCCCTATTTAAGATGATATTGCTGATAAATAAAAAGAAAGGTAGATGATCTGTAAAGCACCTTAACATCATGCAGCGCTGTGTAATAGTCTCAGCACCTCTCCTTACATCACGGCTAGTTAGAGGCCTGCCTTTTCTCTTCCTCCACAGATCATTAACACATGATCTTCTTGATCCTCCACTGTGCTGACATTTGTTGTAACAGTCTCACTTGTGGTGTTCAATATTTAATACTTTCCCCCTGAATTCCTTCTGGAAAGTTTAGGGATGTGTGAAAAGAACAAATCCCACCAAGGGAATTGGAGGGATGAAGGACAAACTCTATGACACACCATAAAGTGTGCTTCTGTCCTTTTCCCCTCGTCATCTCTCCTACCGCAGTGAGGACAAGGTCAGTTTTCTTTTCTCTGGATAACATATTCCGGTAAGAACAGTTTAACATAAGCCTGTTTCAGCCTGAACTCAATTCATATTGATATGATTAGTTCATTTCTAAGTCTTGCTTTATTTTCTTTGAAGTCTCATGGAAAAATACATTGTGTATTCCCCTCCCTGTGTCTGAATTATTCAGCTTCAATACCATTTCTCTTCTTAGTACTTTTACTAGTCTTTGGATGGCTGCAGAAAAAGAAACATTAGCACACAGTAAAACAACATGAATAACATATACTGTATATTCCAGGCAGCATTTAATGAAATCTTAACACTCTGTTCATTAGCTTGGCTCTTTTGCATGAATATTGTGGTTAAGAGGGTTCAAATATAAGCACAAGCACTTGCAATTACTTTCCTGTGCTAAAAGATGTGTAATATTTATTAGGTAATTAGACCAAACCAGCATGCTCACAACATATGCTGTTTACATTAAAAATGTGCATACATACAGCAAGGCTGAGATTAGATACTGGTGTTTACATGTCACTTTTCAGGATGGAATTGATTTCCTTCAATATAAAGAGACCTGAGTTAAATGAAGTGTCTTGAAGGGAGCATTAAAGGGTTTGCAGACATCCCTCTGGGCAGTTTCAGGAGCATCGATTGAAAATGCTGGGTGGGAGCATGCTTACGCTCTCCAGTGGCAGTGATTTTATCCAGCCATGCCTCTCTCTCAAGTTTGAAATTGTTCTGAGGGAGCAACAGAATAAATGTGAGTGGCAGTAATGAAAAAGATGGGAAGGTAAAGCTGAAAGCAGGTGACATCTGCTGCATACTACCGTGATCAGTAGGCTGCCACAAATAAAAATATGATGGTCTTTTTTCAGATATTATGCAGTTCAGATGCATTTGATTTATTCTGGATGCAATGATCATCTCCATAAGCAAATAAACCGTTCTAGTGTTATATGATGTTTTTTGCCAATTTTAAAAAACTATTCATTAAGCTTTTCCTTTTTACAAGGCTGTAATCACTGAAGCAGCAGCAGCAGAATTTCTAATAATGTAAAGTGATTAATAATTTACTTTGTTATGGCTTGTGATTTGTCTGCTAGCATCATAAATTGGATTAAGTAATAAACTGATGTATAATTATACACCATGTTTGCCCTGTTGACAGGTTTAATATATGTAAACTCAAATGCTTATAGGAGTTTGTAGGCAACAAACAAATAATACAGAATAAGGGCTTCTTCTTGCAGTTTTTGTATGAGAGCTGACCAGTTTGAGGCTCTGACAGACTGTCAAAATGTGATTTATTTGTAATTTTGATAACGAAAGTAATTTAACAGTTCCTTTGCATTCTCTGTGTCATCTTTCATATTTTTGCAACTACCTCCTTTAAGTATGAATTATTGATAAATAGCTGGCTATTGCATGCTGAGCCAAAGAGTGGAGAAAAACATGGACTGGATTCAGGATTCAGGATCTTTATTAATTTTCAGCAAAAGTATCTATGTATTTTTCTGTTTCTTCACCTCAAGACAAATTTTGAGAGGCAAGCCACATACTGTAACACACTTTGATGTGTAGGCTAAAGCCATGAGTGTACTGTACTTGCAAGACACCAATGAAATATGCCTCCTGAGAGACTTGCTGCACCACCAAGAGTTCCCTAGCAGACACAATGCACAGAAAACAATCTTGAGCTTGAATATTAGTAACACTACAACTGTTCTTCAAGGACAGCTTTCGAAGATTTACTGCAGTCAGCTTTGGCTAACAATTGAGAGTTTTCCCTCAAAAGAAAAAGCCAGCTTTCACAATGGGATTAATCAGGACTAAACCATTCATCCATTATTCTCCACTTCCAGCACAGTTTGTATAGAAACAGTGCAAGTCTGGCCATTCTCTGCTTGTATCTGTCTCTGGGCTGTGTGCCATGGGGGAATATTTATATTACTTTCAGGAAACGCCTTTATTGACTGACTGCCACCAATAAATTGTTGATTGCAACTGATGAAAAGGTTTCAGGCTAGAGTAAATCCCTTGATAATGAAGACACTTCCTCATGTTCTGTTACATCCAGACCAGAACCTTGTATTATATTCCAAATGCATAACTGATTTGATTAAGCCCTGATCATGTAAAGTCTGTACATACTAGCACACAGTACCAGCCTATAGCAAGTTCAATATACACTGATGATGTTGTTGCCAGGACTGTGCCATTGTAGTTCGCAACCTGCTTATTAGATCTCAGCTGCTGGGTAGAGTTTTGTCCAGAGAGAGACAGAGACTGATGGAGAAATCTCTGTGAGGTGTCTGTCTTTTGGTGTGTGTGTGTGTGACTGAATACCTTTATCGCTTTAGATTATAAGAACTGCACAGGAAAATCCATTCATCAGCTGATTTTGCATAAACAATCTCATTTTCCATACACTGTTAACTGGGACAGACTAACTTAAAAATTCAGGCAAGTGGTTGAGTTAAACATATAAGCAATTGATAATGGAGTTTGTTTGAGTCAAGCTGACTTTAGTGCGGGAAATTACATTTTAAGTTCATCGATATAAGGCATTTCAAGTTATATGATATGATGTATACTGTAGAGTCCTTAACATCAAATATTTAGGTTGAGATGACTCAAAATGTGTCTGTTATGTAAATAAACTCCCATTGTAATACATTTATGAAAACTGTAATTGAAAAGAGACAATAAAACAGTTTTAATGTGTGTGCAGTTTTTAAAATCTAAAGTGATAAACATACCTAATGTTGAATGTCACGTTAGATTTCATATGTGTTTAAGTGTTCCCTTTATTTTTTGAGCAGTGTATATACATACATATGTATGTATGTGTGTGTGTGTGTGTGTGTGTGTGTGTATCCATATTCTTATGTTGGGGTCCATATATTTTAGTTGATGATTGAGTTGTTGAATTGTGACATTTGTAGGAAGATTAACCTTTAGATTACTGAGTTCATTATTAATGAATAGGCTACCTGTGGCTCACTTTCCAGATGAGCTTTGCTATCGTTTCTGTTATATTTATCCGCACTAACATCACCAGTATTAATAGTAGCTATAATTGTAATCATTATTAAAGTTTTATTGCCAAGGCTGTCTCTAAAACGTGTTGCGGAGTCGTAACTTGCTTTCTTCTTCGCTGGCTGGACCGCTGATGAATCCACGGAGCAGACTCCATGTCGGACTTTTCTTCTCTCCTGTGAAAGCGATGTTTCATACGTTCAGTGATGCCTCTGCAGCCCAGAGACGGAGCGATATACTGTGGAAAGATACTACAGTCTATGGGACCTTACAATCCAAATGACGTCTTTTATGACCAATCTCAATTTGTATTAATTTCAAGGCAAAGAAGGACTTTTTCAGCGACATTCAGAGGATCGTTGTCGAATCAACTGACGGATTGCCAGTCCACTGTGTTGCCAAGGTAGGGGACCAAATGCGCAAAGTGTTTTCTCATTTCATTAATTCTGCTGCAAGAATTTGTTTACTCTTTTCAGTTAAAATCTGTTTAAATCGATTGTCTCTTCTGTCATGTTTCGCCAGCCACTTTTCAAAACACGTAGTCCTCGTCATGCTGCTTTCTGGTGTTATCATTTTGCAGGAGAGGTTGCGTTGATGGTTTAGATTCCCATAACTTTGCTATAAACCCGGACTCCTGAAGAAACAAGGTAATTTGTTTGGACAAAGTTGGTAGATTGCATTTTTCCATGTTACACGCGGACAGCCGTCCCTACCACTTAACGTAAGTGACAATGAGACAAGAGTAAAATGTCCTGACACATTATTGCGCGCCGCGTTTGCGGCTCTGTCTTTGGCATTTTAATATGAGGGTAAGCTGATGAATGTAGCTCCTTTTGCCACATCAACACAGGTTGCTTTTCTTTTTTAACACTAATAGGTAAAACATCTGAACAGGCTGCTGCCTTTTGCGGGATGCAGCAGAACATGTGCCATCATGTCGGTTTCTGTGACCAAGGCTTTAGGGTGAATCTGGCCATATCCTCCTTCCATCATAGACTGAAGCTTTTCAGGCTGTAGGTACCCCATCAGTTATGGCTTTATTCTTATAACTCTCTCTCTAATCTGCTGATTCCTTTAGTTTCTTTTGGTTTAGTCAGCCTCCTTGGATGATGTTGCATGTGTCTGCACAGACAGCAGTGCTCCATACTGAAATGTGTGATTCCATTAATTAATAAACTGCCACAATTAATAGGCCCTGAAATTCAGTCAGCATCTGTAAATGACTCTAGTCTAAGAATGAATAGATCACTTATCTAATGCAAATGCACAAAAAGTTACAGATGTGACAAATGAAAGGACAAACCAACATGAAATGTCGCAGTAAGGTGCTGGGCCACCACGTGCCCCCAGAACAGCTTTGGTGCTCCTTGGCATTGATTCTGGTAGTCTCTGAACTCTATGGGAGACATGAACACCATTCTTCCAAAAGATATTCCCTCATTTGTTTTGATGATGGCGGTAGAGAAGCTGTCTAAACCTCCCATAGGTGTTCAACTGGGTTGAGATCTGGTGACTACGAAGGCCATAGTATATGATTCACATCATTTTCACATTCATCAAACTATTCAGTGACCCCTTGTGTCTTATGGATGGGGGCACTGTCATCGTGGAAGACACCACTCATTTCTTCAGGCTTTTCCCTTTGTTCATCACCATTCTGTAGTCTACAAGAATAAGAAGCTGTGTTAATGGCTCGTGGTGTGGATGAAAATTACATGCTATTAGAGCCAATCTGGGAAAAAATGCAATTGTTGTCCTGACTTCAGCAGAAGTAGAGCAAGATTTAAGGACGAGAAGAAAGGATCAAGGCTAATTGGTCAACCAAGTATGAAGGAGTCATTAACTGCCTAGCAAAATGAATGGAATATCATCTGAAGGCTGCAAACCCTCCAGATTTTAAATAATATGACATAGAATAAGAGGCATTTCCCACTTCTCTTTATCTTTTTTTCCCTGGGTGCTGTAACAGTTTTTCAAGCATGTTTTCGTATTTCAGAGAAGCAGCCAACTGTCAAAAATCAATTGATCTTCCCTTGATGCCTGTGTCACTTCCTTAAACCATTAACATCCATGCAAGACCCCAGCACCTGCCCTTCTTCCTATCCAGCCCCCCTTAGAGGCCCTCTGCATTTTGCTTGTATAACTGACTGTAGCGGCTTCATAGTGGAAATGGACTGTGGGAGTGATCATTAGCTGCCTTTTCCTTTTGCCTGTCAGATAATGATGAACTCTGTGGTGAACTCTCACCCTTGTGCCTGTGCTTCATTAGCTTTCTTTCTATTATCAGCTGCAGTGTCTTCCTCCTGTATCATTTCCATGCATCTCACCTCCCTCACAGATGATAAGAAACTAAGAATCCACTGACTTGAAAATCTTTTGTGTCTGCATCTTTTTATTGCCATGACAGTTAGCAGAGGGCTTATCCTACTCCGGTTTGTGTTGTGCTGTTGTTAAACCAAGTAGTTAAAAAACATTTGTACAGCTACAAAACACTAGTAAACAGTGCCTCAGCTGCTGCTCTCCACATGCCGCCAGTGGAATATTAAGAAGACTTTCAAGGGAAGATAAGCACTGTTGAATATTTTAAAATCGCTGTATATTTTTCACACTTCTCCTCTACCCAAGAAGCCTCGCTTTGCCATGTAATTATAGAGATAATGCTTTCTGGATGTAATGCACATAGTCAAAATGGCCTTGTTTGTGTGTGTGTTTCCTGTTCACTTTTGAGTTTGTCTTTGACGCCATGGCACCCTGAAATTAAAAATGAAATTATAAAAGGGCCATCGGATTTGAGCAGCCGGGGCAGAAAGAAGCCAAGACTAGCAATGTTGGATTATTGCTTTCCAACACTCCGAGGGTTTGCAGTACAGTAAGGGATGATGACGCCAAGAAGACTTGCAATGCACTGCGGTGACACAGCTGTTATTCATAACTTGTCCCCTCAGGTTTTATTAGAGAAGGTCAGAAGTCGCACTCGTGTTGTAATGATGGCTGCGGATGACAGCAGTGATGAGTCAGCAGTGCTCTCTGATGTACTGTAGTTCCAGGCTGTCTTCTTTTCTTTGTTGAAATATAATTACACTGCAGAACCTCTTCAGGTGCCACTATGTGTAGCTGTTTTCAGTAGTTCAATTGTGAAAACAGAACATCTTCTGTTTCTGCAGCTTCTTTTTAACACCAGTAAGAGCTGATCTTCAGGGGACTCTTCAAGCACTCTTGCACTAGTCCTGCAGTCTTAGTCTGTGCACTGAACTATTTACACTGGTTGTATGGGAGCAGTTAGCAGGCCAGTTTAATTACTTCAAATTTTCTTCAGGTTTTTTTTTTTTTTGTTCAAAGGAAAGGAAAACAAGTTTGTGTGCTACTGTGGAGAAACCAGTGGAGAGCACTACATTTTGTGCTCCCAGCTGTGAGGCTGAGAGAGAGCAGAACTTATGTAAAAAGCCTGCGTTCACTGAAGGCCGTGCATAGGGCCTCGTGCAGTGTGTGTGTACACCGCTGCCTGTGAAACAGGCCTCACTGAATGAACCTCAGTTCTTGAATAAATGTACTAATCCCACCCTCTTCAGATGATCTCCCTTTTGATGAGTTTTTGGGTGAAAACTTTCTGCTCCTTAGGATTTATTCTTAGTGTTTTTTCTCAGTACTGCTCAGTACTGCCCCCGGTGGTCGATCATACCCACTTCAATTGGTCCAGTACTGAGAGCCCAACCATGGTCACCAAACAGGGAAACTTAAACCTGCCTCGCGTGTACTAAAACACTGATGCTTCACTGTGAGTGTGACTTGTTTTGTTTCTAAGATTCAGCGGTTGCAATAATATAGTATTTTATCTTCCAAAAGGACTGCTGCATTATCTTTTATATACATTATACAAAACCCCTGCTGATTTATTATTTAATAAAGGGCATGTTTTCATATTTTGTCTTCTGTTTTTAATGCGATGATAATCAGAATCTTTTGTAACGAGAATATCATGTTGTGGACTTTTTATTGGTATCATTACATCTCTCCCTATTCAGCACATAATTAACTGGCTGTCAAACCCACTGCCCTAATATAGGACTGCAACTAAAGCACGAGGCAAAATACATTACACTTGCTGATTAAATCACTTGTGTGCTTTGTATATAGTATTCTGTTATACAACTTTTGTCTGCAGTAGTGTTTAGGTCACAGACACCGAATGGCTGATGAAAAGAGCTGTTTACTATTACATTCTCCCTTCATGGCTATTTATGCCTGCAGGACTTACTACAGTTTATGCCTCGGGCTGTCTTCCCCTCTCCCTCTGACGTTGATATTGTGTGTTCCTCTACCCACACTATAACACACAGTAGTGCACAGTATCACATTATTACTGTCAAGCCTTTGTTCTCATTCATCTTTTATTGCTGAGGAAACACTAACAACCACAGTGGTCTCATCCATTTCGGTCTTTACCAACATGCAGTGACACTGGGTCCCCTTCCACCCGAGACGCCATTCAGGGCCACAGCATGCTCTGTTCAAAGCCTTTTCATTGAAATGCTTTTTATTTGCCTTTCACCAGAAACTAGGGCACTTATTTGTTGATATAAAGGCATACTGTGGACCTGCATTTGCAGGGGACAATGTCAATTCTGGTGGGAGAGGAAGGGAAATGAGAAGAAAGACATGTTCATATGCCTTCCAGCTATTGGAGCATACTTTGACTATGAAAGACCACGTCCATTGTTGAGCAACATAATCCACCGGGGCGGCCTTCGGCCAGACGCTGGGGGGGACTGCCTGTACAGTCTCCCTCTCTTTCACACATTACTAATGCAGACCCCTTTCTGTGCTGGAATCAGCTACTGAATGCTGAGCAATTTTCAAGTGTTACTGAACTGGTGTTTGGGGTGATAGTGTACACATCCCATTACTGTTGCCATTCTAATCACAGACTGCTTACTGAGAAGGCTTGTTTGAACAGTATTACTCTGATAGCCATCTTATTGATATTCTCCATTGATGGGGAGATGAAGGCCTGAATGCAGAGATATAGATGCAAAAATACCAGAAATCACCCCACAAATAACATTTTCTGGCTGGTTTTAATGAAGCATTGTGTGTAAGGTCACTTGCAGACATGAGACTGACATAATGTGTCTGTGAGCAGTGGATTTGTGGTTTAACTGTGGAATTAGTGGCTCACCCTGGATTATGCACAGACTCATGCTTCAGTATCAGATTGCTCACATTCAATAAGTACAGATATTATTTCCACTTAAGAAGGCAGCTATTATAGTAGACTACAGTCACACACAGAAACACATAGATGAGCTATAGAGAGCAGATCATCTACCTGATCAGTCAGTTGTCTGACTGTTGTTCTCACATGCTGTATGTTTTTTTTCAGAGCTGCAACGAGTCAGTCAGTTA